GTTCCTGGACTCACCGAGGCAAGTGCCCACTATAGCATGTGGGTGAGAAACCCCTGCAGCCCAAGCAGGAAGGAGTAAGAAGACAGTCAAAGAGAAGTCTTGCGCTTCTGTGAGCAAGCCTGTCTGCTTTGTGACTGCGTAAGCCAGTGGTTGCTAGGTTGCTCTTCCCCACAGCCCAGAACCATTCCCCAAACCCCTCTCTAGCACCTCTCACCTCTCCTGGAGGGGCAGGCAGTGCTCCCTGGAGACCGACTCTCCCTCCAAGTTCCTTCCCCACCTCCCATTCAGGCCTTTTAAAGGGGAGCAAAGGGGAGAATGAGAGTCAGAGGCTGGTTTCAGCCAGCGAGCACAAGGCAAAGAGGGAGAAACTGGCAAAAAAGTTGGTTGGGCTGGGTCCCATCTATGTCGGCCCCACCGGGTAGAATGCCACTGTGGAGGGTTCTGCCTCCAAGCAACCTGTTTCAGGAGATTGATTCACAGGGAGCTGTCTCTTAGAAGGAGAGGAGGGGTCTGCCAACATGACCCAGCCCTACTCTAGGTGATCACTCGCTGGGTGGGAAGATACTGGGTTTTCACTGGGGCAGGGGTTTCAAATGAATTCTGGCATTCTCTAGATGTGTCACCTTGGGTAAGTGGCCTGTACTGCCAGAGATGTGTAATAGTGGTAAAAATGCTTAGTTCAGATCCCAGATCAGCTAGTGCCTAGCTGTGGGGCTTTAAGAGTGGAGATGATACTTGGCACTTATTCTCACAGGATTACTGGGAAGATTGAGGGACTTGATTTAGATTAAACTGTTTAGAACAGTGCCTGGCACCAAGTAGGATCTCTTAATGTCATTACCTTCCCTGAGCCTGCAAAATGAGGTACCCTCACCTACTTCTGGGGCCCTCCTGAAGGACAAATGAGCTAACGGAAGTGAAGCACCTAGTCATATACCTGGCACACAAAAGATGCTCAAAAAATGGTGATAGTAATAATTATTACTGGTATCTTGATGAAAGTAGGCTTCTCCTGGGCCTGTCTCAGCAGGAAGAAGTTGACATGACCCCTTTGAAACCATTCTGAAAGTCCCTCTTCCATTCTTCTGGGAATCCTGGTGACTATTATGATAAATAACATTATGTTTGAAAGAAGAGAGGGCTTTCTTCCTCCCCCCACCCCCACCCAGCCCCTCCTGCTACTTTGAGCTCACTTGGGGATCTCCCACTGTTCCAGCTGACACAGCTGAGAGTAAAACCCACTTTCACCTTCCCCATTGCACCTCTGAACCCTTCCACTGTATTATTTAGAACTGGATACCAGGTCTACATGTGGAAGATACCTTAGGAAATTCCCTCAACACTGGTTTGTCAGGTTTGTAAAAGAATTGCCGAAGAAACCGTTTTGAAATCTTTCTTTGTGGAGCGTCACAAACAGCAGAGAGATTCTGTCTGCCTGGAAATGATTTGAAGTAACAGTCCTCCTGCCTGGGTCCCTCAGTTATAAGAGGAGCAATATAAAAATGTATGGAACACTTCCTATGTGCCACGCACTGTGTTATATCATGTCATTTAACCCTACAGATGGGGGAACTGATGATCAGAGAAATCCTTAATTATGTGTGTTGCAAATATATTCTCCCCTTTGTAGCTTGCTCTTCTGTCTCCAAATGCAGTCTTTTGATGGAGAGAAATTCCTACTCTTAACACAGCCCAATGTATTAATCTTGTCCTTAAAGATCAGTGGTGTTTGGGGGCCAGCCAAGTGGCTCAGTTAGTTAAGAGCTCACTCAAGAGTGCGAGCTCTGAGCAACAGCGGTTCGACGCCCGAGCTGAGCTGCCAACAGGTGGTAGGATGGCTCAGCTAAAACATAAAAATAAAAAAGATTAGTGGTGTTTGTGTCTTATTTAAGAGATCTTTGCTTACCCAAGGTTATCTCTTGTATTATTTTCTAGAAGATTTACTGTTTTACTTTTCACATGTAGAAATGATCAATCTGGAATTGGCTTTCGTGTATGGTGTAAAATAGGGGTCAAGAGCCGCATTTTTTTTCCCATACAACTATCCATTTGACCCACCACCATTATTTAAAACTATCTGAGTCCTGCTTCTCTGAAGGATTATCTTAATCAAAATTCAGGTGTCCGTATAAGTGTGGGCCTGTCTCTGGACTCTATGCTTTTCCACTGCTCTTTTGTTTACCATTCCACCAATAACACACCCTCTTAATAACTGTCATTTTAAATACATTTTGATATCTAGTGGTGTAAGACTTTGTCTGGAAAAACTCATTTTCTCCTCCACTATCAATATTTCTGACACCAGATATATGGGAGATTTTTCCACACCCAGCAATTCTCCATTTCACCAACTGCGTGTCCTATAAATTTAACTCAACTCTGACGCTATCTACCTGAAGATAGCGTCAGAGTTCAGAGGTTAAGGGCCCAGTCCCTCAAGACTGCCCCTGCTTCAAACGCCAGTTCCAAGTCCAGGTTGTTACCTATACTTCTGACTGACCAGTTATGTTATAAATCAGGTTCCCATGATCCCCTCCTTGGGTTCAATAATTTGCTAAAATGGCTCACAAAGCTCACGGAACCATGTACTTATGTCAGCCCATTTATTATAAAGGCTATAATAAAGGCTATAATACATATGAACAGCTAGATGAAAAAGTACATAGGGCAAGGTCCAGAAAGATCCCAAGTGCAGGAGCTTCTCTGTCCCTGTGAAACTGGGGTGCACTCTTCCAGCATGTGGATGCATTCACCAGCCTGAAGGCTCTCCAAACTCCATCCTGTTGGGTTTTTATGGAGGCTTCACTATGTAGATGATGGATTAAATCACTGGCCCTTGGTTATTGATTCAACCTCCAGCCCCTCTCCCCTCCCCAGGTGTGTGTGGGCAGAGCAACCAAAAGTCACCTCATTAATGTAAAAAGGGGCTTATTATGAATAACAAAAGAGACATTTATCTCTCTAATCACTTAGGAAATTCCAAGGGTTTTAGGAGCTCTGTGCTAGGAATAGGAATGAAGACCAGATATATATTTCTTACTGTAAAGCACAGACTTTCAGCTTTGTTTTTAAAGATTGTCTTTGTATTCTAGTTCCTTTGCCTTTTCATATACATTTTAGAAAAATCTTTGTATCTATAGAATTTTTTGCTGAGATTTTAATAGGAATCAAATTAAACCTGGGTATCTATTTAAGAAGAATTGACATTTTTACTATGTTGAGTCTTCCAGTCCATGAATATGGTATGTCTCGCCATATATTTAGCTTTTCTTTGATTTCTCTCATAAGCATTGTGCAATTTTTAGCATACAAACTCTGTACCTGTTTTGTTAGAATTACACCTAAGTGTTTAAGGTTTTTTTGAGCAATTGTAAATAGTGTTGTATTTTTAATTTCAGTGTTGATATGTGCATTACTAGTATATAGGGTTTTTTTGTTTTGTTTTTTTAAGATTTTTTTAAATTGGGGAATTGGGGGAGGGGAACAGTGTTGGGGAATTGGGGAAGGGGAACAGCCAAGTTGTTGTCCTTCAATCTTAGTTGTAGAGGGCGCAGNATGGGGAGTGGAGAAGAGAAGGAGGCTGGGTCACATCTCCAAGGTGCCCATCCCGTCCTCTCCCGGAATACTAGCATCACAGCATTGCAGGGACCTGGGGTGTAGACCAGGCCAGCCCCACCCTGTTCTAGACCCCTCTCCCCTCTCCCCAGTAGGGGGCCCTTCCATTACAGCCAACGCTCTTCCTCCTTGTGGGCTGGCCGCCCCTAGTGGTCCTCAGATGGGTCTCATACTTCCTCCTGGACAGACAGACCCTCCCTGCTGCCCCTCTCCCCCGCCCACCAGAGATGTGAAAACAGTATCCTGTGCCAAGGCTCAACCGCTTACCTTAATTCCTACATCAGCTGCCCTCAGATCTGTCCCCCAAAGCTTGGCATCCTTTATTAACCCTGGGAAACCCTCCTAAGCCAGACCTGTGGGCATAAGCCCCTGCAACTCCAGTCAAGACTGGTGGTACCTTTCTTCCCATTTTAAAGATAAAAAACAGACCCAGACAGTTTAGCTGAGTTGCCGAGTGCCGCCGTGAGTTAGCTGCAGAGCAGGGATGAGAACTCTGCTGCCCAACAAAACAGCAGGACGAGACTCGGCCAGAAGGAGCCAGGCCTGTCCTAGAACCACTTCCAAATACCTTCTCGCCGCCTCCCACTCTTCCTTACTGGTTTATCAGCAAATAGCACACACGAGGCCAGCCCTATCCTGTTCGAAAACCTTCAGTGATCCTCTACTCCTTACGAGATGACACTCCACTAAGTTCAGGAATGAGAGCAAGCTGGTCCTGCCCACAGTCTAAGTCGGCCCCTCCCCACCTTCTCCCTCTCCGCTGCCCACTGAGCCCTGAACTTCAGCCCCCGGCTCTCTAAAGATGTGCTGTGTTTTCCAGCCTCCGAGCCTTTGTGCTGTGGGTCTCCACTAGACGCCTCCCCAGTCATCTTGTAAACTAGCAGCCCTTCTCGGATGTCTCCACCTGGGTTGGCTCTCTTCTCCTCTGAGCCCTCACTGGGGCCCTCTCCCTTCGGTTGGTATCCATGGGCCCCTCCTCCCCGGTGCCAACAGCAGCGCCTCCATGAAGGCTTGCTCTTCTGCTGGCCAGGTGGAACCGACTTGAGAAGGATTTCCTTACAGAGGGTCGGATCCATTTCATCTCTTCCCAGACAGCGCCTTCGTTCTGCACCCACCTCCCTGTTCTTCAGTTCGTTCTCCTTGGTGACGACGACCACCTGCGAAGCCAGGCCCTTCGACTCCTTCTTCCAGGCCCCTGGGAGGAGGGCGTGACATCCTGTAAAGATGTCTGGGGCCTTCCTCCTTGCCTTCCCTGTAGCAGTAGGTGTTGGGAGAGCAGAAGAGCTTCCTTTCCTCCCAGCCTTTCACTGGCGTCTTAAAGGGAAAGGAGGAGGTGGCCCCCTTGGGGGAAGGATTGAGTGACACCATTGGTGGGTGGGTGTGGAGGGGCTGATGCTGATGTCCTAGCCTGTGGCTTTACTGGGAGATGCCGAAGAGCCTCTGGCTATGTGCACTCGTAGCTTTGCCTCTTTTAAGAAGCTGACGCCAGGACTGAGATTCAGTGGCTATGTGGTAACAGTTACTAAAATATTGAACTGCTCCTGGAGAGGCTGGTAAAGGGCACTGAGCAAGCCTTCCAAACCTCTGCCCTGCAGGCTGTCCCAGCCCCCAAAGGAAAGGGTAAGGCCTGGCAGAGGAGAGGCCTCTTGAATGCTGCTGCAGTGCCATCTATGTCTCACAGTTCTGATGGCTGGTGCCTGAACGCACAAGTACAAAATATTTCTAATATCATTCCTGTCTATAGCTGTAAGTCACACGATTGTTGCACAAATCTGCGTGTCCTCTGCTTGTTATTACTCCTCAAACACCTCGAATCCAAGCAGGGGCACATTTCTGAGGACCTGGGGGGTGGGCAGTAGTGCAGAGGCCCAAGGAAATGAGGGGAAAAGTGGGGTACCCCACCGGATCTCACCAACCTAAGACCAAAAGCCTAATCCTTCTCAGGCACCGGCCCAAGCGGGGAAGCTTTCGGAGAGCAGTGTAACCCCAAGGTAGAAGGTCTGTGGCCCAAGTACCCACCAGAAGAAAGCCGGGGGTCCCGATTGGACTGCGGATCTCCAATGGGGGCAGAGATAGTGGGCATCCCCATCAGACAGCGGGACAAGAGGGAGGCTTGAGGCAAGGCGGCCAGAGAGAACTCGTCCCTGACAACACAGACGGGCTTCCCGGTGAGACCTGTGAAAGGGTAGAGGCTGTGGGAAGGGGCCCTAGGTGGACCGCAAGTGCTCCAGGAGGAACAGGAAGAGGCTGGTGGGCAGGGACAGCACTGGCCCCACTTCTGGTACCCACAGCCCGTAGATCCTTAGATCCCGGAGGGCCTCTGCAACCACCCAGGCTGTACTCCGCAGGCATTTACGATGAGCAGCAGAAAGACAAGCTCAGGGTCACGCAGCAAGTCAGGCTTCCTCAGACCCTGGTCCTGAGGTTCTCTGGCTTTCTATGACAGAGCAATGACTGCAGGTGTGAACATTCAGAGGGGCATCTGGGGTATGGGCAATAAGCCGTAGTGACAAGAGGGACCTGGGCAGAAACCACAGGGAGTGAGATTGAGCTAGACCCTCTGGATAAAACTTCTTGCCATCTGTCAGTCTATGCGGGGCTGAGTGCAGGGCAGCCTGGAGGTGGTGGCAGGCATTTTACACATGAGGACGCTTCTGGCCGAAGGTCTGTGTGATATGATTCGATAGTCAGGACCAGCCTGGTTAGGACTGAGCATGGCTGCTCACTCTTCTTCCTAAAACACGTTTCTTCTGGTGCCAGGACCCCTCAGTCCCCTGGTTCCTCCTAGCTCCCAGCCACTCCTCATTTCCTGTGCTGCTTACTCCTCATCTCAACCTCATAGCATTGGGGGTCCCTGGGGCTCAGTCTGCAGGTTCTCCTTTCCTGTATCTATTACACAGTCTCCTGGTTGATCCCATCCAGACACGCCACTTCGAACACTATCCCTACTGAATTCACGCTCATGTTTGCATCTCTCCCCTGAACTCCACATCCAACTGCGTCCTCTGCACCTCCACCGGGACGTCTAAAAGAAATTTCACATTTTTATCTCCTGGGTCCCAGACCAAACTCCTGACTCCTCCCCTAACCCCCAATGGCCCCTTCTGCAGGCTTCTTTGTCTCAGCCAATGCAACTCCAGTTTCCCAGTTACTCCGGCCAAAAACCTGGGAGTCAGCCTTGACTCCTGTCTTCCTCTTATGCTCCATTTTAAATCGCAAATCCTGTTGGCTTTACCGTCTGTGTATCTCTAGAGCAGGGTCACTCACTCTCCCACTGCTACCTCCCTGGTACAAGCCACCGTCTAGACAGAAGCCAATAAATCACTTCTGTCACTTGGCTCTCAACTTTCCAGTGGTTCTCATCTGACTCAGTGACATGGCTTGATGATGTGTCCTCCACAGCCCCCATGATCTGGGTCCCCATTGTCTCTTGGCTGCGTCTCCTTTCTCCCCCTTCTTACTCTGCTCCAGCTACACTGGCCTGCTTGCTGCTTCTCCAACAGGGCCAGATGCTTGCCTCAGAGACTTTGTATTATATTTGTTGTTCCCTCTGCTATTCTCCCCCCCCCTTCATATCCACATGGTTGGTTCATGCCTTCTCTTCCTTAAGTTCTTTGCTCAAATGTCATGCTATTGGCCAGGTCTCCCCTTTATAACCTTGGTATTTACTACACTGTGACACCTTATCTATTGAGTTGTCAGAAAAGTCATGAAGCATTTTTGCAACAGATTTCTATTTTGCAACATAGAAAAAAATACGTCATGACTTTTCCGATAAGCCAATTTTTCCTATCCTTCTCCACCAGAGAGTCATCTCCATGAGGCAGGGACTGTCTTGTTCATGGTCATATTCTCAGAGTCTAAAAAATGTGGCTAACCCGTAAATAGTTCAGTCATTAAATACTTGATGGATGAAGTGACCTGAGTTAGAGAACAGAGCACATCTCTGAGGCAGCACAGTCATCCCTTTCTCAGGTTTGTAACATGGGAGAATTGGCAACGAGGGAAATCCTGTAGGGATATGCAGTTTGCTGTTGTAGCCTGCCCCCCAAGTCTTGGCTTGGCTAAGTGCTTGCAAGTAGCCAAGCAGCTCTGTGACCCTGGCCAAGTCCCCATCCTCTCTGGGCCTCAGCCTGCAAACAAAGGCTGGGTTCTCCCTTTCCAGTTTTCAAGACCCCGCCCCCTCCCCCCACCGGCTCCAAAATGAAAAGTCT